TGGCTGGGGGCGGGCGGGCTGGCCCCTGGCAGGGGCACCGTAGCCAGCCCGTGCCCCTTTAAGGGCTCCGGGGCCAGGAGGGAGGCTGACGAGTTTCCCTGGTTTGGCCCAGAGTGGCCACCAGGGCAAGCTGGGGAGGGCTAGCCTCCCACTCGTTCGAATTAAGTGGCTACACAGCCCTTAATTCGAACTACTTAATTCGAACTAGGCTTAGTCCTCGTGGAATGAGGTTTACCTAGTTCGAATTAAGCGCTCCGCTAGTTCGAATTAAGTTCGAACTAGCGGTTCTTGTGTGTAGCGCCTATCAAAGTTAATTTGAATTAACATCTGTTAGTTCGAATTAACTTTGTAGTGTAGACATACCCCAAGAGGGTTCTCCATCTATCTTAGATGTTGGTATAGCCCCAGCACTATAATACTTGAGTGCCGCACAGTCTGTCTTTATCTGGAAAATGAGCTGGTGAGGGAGGGAAGTACTTTCATCTCCATTTTACAGATGGGGAACTGATGCACAGAGAATCCTGAGTTGCCCAAAGAGACACAGGCAAGACACTTTTTTTTTCAAATGAAAGATGGGATATTCAATATAGTCACAAGCTGGAGCTTCAGAAAAAAACATGAATTATCACAAGACTTGTGATAAAATCATGAGAGCAGGCAACACTGGTATCCTGGATGTTACACTTTGGTTCTGTGATGTGATGGGAGCCTCAAGGGTTAACACCGACTACCCAGTGAAAACTACTGGAAGATGGTGAAACAAATGATTTTTATTAAGTGGAATGATTTTTTTTTATCAAAACTAACAATTAGCAAATGGTTTTTTAAACTAGCAATTGCCCAATGCTTTTACAGGGTAGAAAACCCTAAACTTAGCTGTACTTAACTAATTACAAACTTCTTTGATTACAATTCAACTATACCAAATCACTGTCTCTAATTTGCTTAACAAAAATACAAAACAAAGACAATATAATGATAATAAAAACTTTGTCTAAAGCCAGCTCCTCTATGGTTATTTTAGGGCAGCTGGTGGAGTTAGTCATAAATCTACTTTTACAACTTAACAACTCCGGGGCGTCTATTTCTAACACTTATATTTAACCTAAATACAACACTACTACACAACACAAGTTTATACAATTTACACAGTGTGGTTAACAGAACTTAGATACACTTTACAGAATTACACAGTGAAATTAACACAATTTAACTATTAATTAAACCAATAACCAATACATTTAAGCAATACTTACAAATCCAGAAACGATAACAACACAAAGACACACTAGAACTCGGAGCATGCTCAGGACTCGTGCACCCCTATATTTGATTCGAAGGGTGGGGAGGCAGCCTCAGGGGGATCAATCCTTTAGCCGGGCAAAAAAAGACACATGCCCTCAATACACAAAACCTCCATCGAACAAAGGGGGAGAGGGTCTTTTATACAAAAATTTGGTGTCTAATGCCATGCTAGGGTCTGCATTTGGCAGGGCCTGATAGGCTAGTGATGAGGTAGTATGATACTGCCCTATAGGAATTTCCGTGATGTATGCGTGATCCCCTCTGGACAGGACCAGATGGGGCATAGTTAGTGTGAGACAGTTGTGTTTTATTACCCTATGTTTGCTTTTTCCCTTGCCCCTAAGACCGGTCAAGCTACGGTCAAATGAGGCTTATCTGTAAGTGCAGCTGGGCGCTATCTAGTCATGCTCACCTCCATGTTTTCTGGTGCCTGTAAGGTCAAATTCCATTCACAGAAACTGCATTGTGCTTCCCATGCTCCTCTGAGTATCCGGGTTTTGTGTGAGGGGCCTTGTGTGGCAGGATGGGCTGTACGCAAAGGCCGTGGACAGAAAAAGCCTGCTTTACAACACTGGAAACCCTCAGATTGAAAACAAACAGCCACAAGAGAGTAAGGGGTATATTTTTTTTTTCAGCCTAGCTGAGACAAGGCTTCCCTTTTTTTAAGTGTTATTTGCAGCTGTATTTTTAGGCCTACAAAACAAATTGGGAGCCAGATTCATAAAGATGCTTAAAGATTTAGATAAGTGTCTTTGAAAATGAGATGTCTATCAGTATCCATAGAGTCCCTAAATACCTTTAAAATATGACCTCTAACTCTCAGATTTGTGCCTGCACTCAGGCACTTAGAGGTGCAGATACTCTGATTTGGACCCACAGTTCAATCCCAAGAGCAAAAAAGTAATTTTTAAACTTTGTGAGTATAACTTGTGCCTAGGAGAAGAAAACTTACCCCCGTAAATAAGATGCCCTCTATCACACTGGACTTCTGTGGCCAAGCTCTGTAATAGAAACACGGGAATGTTTCTGAGTCACAGAAATGTTTTTCTTCATACTTCTCACCATAAACGCAAAGAATATTTGACTGTATCACACTAACATCAGTATAACCCATCTGTACCTGAACCGTATCCAGCTAATGCCCATTTGTCTGAATATCTTGCACTTGCTCATCTAGCCCTGCAGTGACTACATTAAATGCAGTGTTTGGCACCTTGCTATTGTTGGCCCTTAGAACAAGACAGCCTTGTCTCTGCCTGCTGTGAATCAGCTCCCTGAAACCACTAGCCTCTCTGGCAGTACAAAGCAGATGTGGCTCTCCCTGTACAGGTTAGCAATAGGTACATGCCAGACTCCTTGCAGGGAATGCCCCCAAGGACTGCATCCAATCCCTGATATGCTAAAATCTCTCAGAATTACCAGGGCTGCTATTCCAGCCCCACGTAATGCCTGTAATCCTGCTACAGCCCCCGGATAGTTGGCATTAGGAAACAGATTTCTAAGTAAGAAGGGACAATTGTGATCATCTAGTCTGCCCTCAAAGATAATGCTTAGGGCACTGTGTGAATAAGGGTTTCTTCCTTTTGGGACCATTCTCCAGGAGAACCAAACATGGGGCTTGCTGGTAAGAGGTGAAATTTGTCTGTCGAGTACTTGGTGGAGGTGTCTTTCCAAGTTAGATGAGAAGGGATGTCTTCCTCAAGAGTACAGGGTAAGGTGCTTCCTATAAAGAGGAGGCACACCCAATGCAGCTCCCCATCTCCCTTATATTATATGTGTCTTATATTGTAGTGCATCACACAGGGGACTGAGATCTTTCTGGAGATCCGGAGGTTCAATGCTAGAAAGTCTCTTCTGGCCGATGGGATCCCTTTTGGTGGCAATTGATTCAGGAAAGAGGTATCACTGCTCACCTGCAGCTCATCTGGACTTTGCCTTCATTCCTTCTCAGCTCCTAGCTCGTGGGTCACTCACAGCACATGAAGAATCTGATGCAGGGGAGAATAGAGAAATCATTCAACATCATAGAATAACACAAACCACTGCAACTGGCACAAGCAAATTCCTAGCGTAGTATGTGATCCCAATATTAGTACGTAATATGTACTAATATCAGTGGCCTGCAGAGCAGGAGTGGTGGGTGGTGGTTTCAGTAACCATGACTATTATTGTTTGTGTGTTACAGCTGCATTCAAAGATGTAAGAGAAACAATGGAGAAATAGATATTGGACTTGGGATTCGGAAGCAGAAAAGTGACAGAAGCTCCCTTGCTACCCTCTTAAATGGATCAGATGAAGAATGAAGACTTGGCTGATGTCTCTTATTTCATAAAAATTATGAAAATCGATTTTTTTAATCGGAGGAATATTTATATTGTATTATCAAGAAGGCAGATCCTGCAATTTTATTACTGAACAGTATGCGCAGACTCAAGATGTAATCTCTGCTCTCTTCCATAAATTCCCTGAAACAACTTTGGATCTGAAATGGGTGCTTAATCTCCTACTTCTGAGTGATTTCTTTAATGGCACAATCAAATGCAGAAATCCCCAATGTCAGGACTTATGGGATCTTAGGTATGTGCTGTCTCCATAGTGATGGATCAGAGCCTACAGCCTGTCACATTTTTAGAGTGAATTGAGGGCTGACCTGTCATGATCAAAGTTGGAGAAACCTGGAGATAGAGTTTCAGTAACTCTAATGACACGCTGTGGACTGACAGATTCGAAAGGGAAGCAGGAAGAATGCAGGCGAATTCTAAAGTATGCCAAGGAACGGGCAATGTCATTCCTCAAATAGACACTACTGAAACTTTGTACCACAGCTGTCCATTTACAACTTTTTATATTTTTGAGGCAAGCTTTATAAAGACTGAAAATGATAAAAAAAAAAATCCTGCTTGACAAAATGTCCATAATTCATTATTTTATAATCTGAGTTTTGCACGGCACTAATAAACCTTGCCTTCCTACTCTTTGGCTTGTTTGGCTTTAGATTTTGTACTGCTGCCTAGCACCAGAGTATAGAAAAGATATCCAATCTACTTTACATAGGAGTCAAAGTCCCTAATGGTTATCCCAGAGACTGAGGCAATGTTAATGAAACTTTTGGTTTTTGACAGATGTAAACTATATTCCTGAAGGTTGGAGAGGACAAATGTGAGTTCCCCATCCCTGTACTGCATGGACTGAGTTAACCTTCATCCAGCCCAATGAAGGTTGATTTTGGGACACATTCCTCCTTCTTCTGCTTCTTAAATCCCATTCCTAATCTCACGCAATGATTGATTGTGTGGTGTTTTGTTTTTTAAGGTGCCATATAATCCCTTCAACGAACTGCTGCACGGGTTCCACTCCAAATATGGAGTAACCGAATCCTATTCTGTAAAAGCCACTCTGTTTATTCACACCTAGCAGGGGTGAGCTGTCTGCTGGCTTGCTGAGTGGTCCCTGTGGGTCTGGTCAGGTGTTGCTGGTCTGCTCTGACCCAGTTCAGCAAATGTACAGGTCACAGAATCTCCAGGTGGGGAACCCAGAGTAAAACAAGACCCTGAATGGAGTTTCCCAGCTTTGCTGGGATAGCAATCCTAGTCTCCAGGGAAAGGACCCTGTCCCCCTTCCTTGCTGAACTTGTCGGCCATACCAGCTCCCACCAAGGCACGTTCTGCACAATGCTTGTGTATGGTAACGAATATAGCAATACGTTTTAACTTATAAACTCAAAACATCAATTCCAACCACAGGAACAAAATTCCTCTGGAACGATGGGCAAGCAACATTATAATTAATGTAAATAACGATGTAGCTTCCTCCTTCCCTATAGAGGGAACAGAATTTCATCCCTTTGTATCTTCAGGCCCTGAGGATTACACTATTATTGGGGCATTTGTCTCTTTGTTCACCTACATGTGTGCCTCTCTCTAGCATTGAGAGAACGAGGAGTCCTTTTCTGAGCCGCCATAGGGATGGGCAGAGTCACTTTCCCTGTGAATAGGACACTGTAATGAACCACTGTTGCCTACATCAGCAGCTGCCGTGTGTCTGGTCCCTTCTGACACAACAAAGAGAGGTGTCTGCCAAGGGCATTAAGAGAACTTGCTGACCACGCTCTATTGTTTCTTCAACCTGCCCTTGCCAGATAATTAGATCCAGAGAGACACTGGAAATGCTGCTCGCTAGTTCAGATAGGCATGATCTGACGCTGGGTGTGGGGGAGCCAGGGAGAATTTATATATATATTCTGGGATGCCAACTGCATGGCAAAATCCAAAGTTCAAATCTTTATATCCTTGGATACGAATGGTGCTCTGCCGCCAGACTACAGTGTGTTTTACTAACTGGTAGGAATAGAATGAGAATTGATTTTATTTTTGTCCTGGCCTAACCACTTACTTGTTTTCCAGTAGACTCCATTATATCTATCTTTGGATGTATGTTTATGCACCCAGGAAAGGCATGGTTTGCAATGCATGTTAATGTCCTATTGAGCTTGTGTGAGCGTGGGGAGAAGACTTTAATGCTGTTTAAAGTGTCTCATTAACAATGGTGCAAAAGCTAACAGCATCACTTTATCTGAATGCTAGATTTCCTACTTTCCTATTTTTCTTGCTTCCACTGAATAGATTTATTCTGCATTCCTGAACACTAGAAGTGTGAATGAACTGATGCATAAATAATCAAGAAACAGCATCTCATCACAATTAATCCAGTTAACAAGCATCTTAATTGTAAACTGCAAAGATCTGAACTATTTTACACAATCAGCATTTTGCAGAAACCATTTTTTCCTCCAGTAATGTGTTTTGAATATTTTACCTAAATGTGGTGCCTTATTCCATCCCCCTCACAAATCTTGCTGTGAGCATCTTTCAGAATTATGTTTCTTCTCTGATCATAAGTGAGCCTATATCCAAATGGAGACAAGCTGGATTACCTAAATTGCAATGAGGTCAAAATAAGCTTAATTGAACAATAAGTAGAACTGAAATGTCACTGCAGAGGATTTCTGCTTGTATAAAAAATGTAAAAATTGAATGACCACATGATGGCAGCAGAGGTTGGAAGAGAAGGTGATGGTGTGTACATAGTACTGAACAAATGACTCAGATTTTAGACTATAGTCACCTCACATCTCTCCTCCCCCTACCGCTCCCAAAAAATGATTGACATCTATTTTCATAAAACAGGATCAAGATCAAAATTGATCTTGGTTTTTGAAACATTCATTGGATTTGCTCTGCTTTTTGGGAGAACTCCTTAAAGTGAGATTGGTCTTTCTCCATTTCTTCAGGGCCATACATGCTGCTGTCAATTAAATAAATTGCTTTACCTGTCACTTACTATTCTCATCTAGTATCTTTTGTTAATCTCTTATCACAATCTGGCCACAATGGTAGCAAAACACTTTTTTTCTTCTGCTGTTCCTACCATTTGGAATAACTACTCTTCTGCCTCATTGACTCCCCAGTTTTAAAATTGTTTTAAGATTCATCAGCATGATGCTTGCTAATTTGTTTTTTCCTTGAAGCAAATTTCTTCCAAAATATCATCTCATACAGTGACTGAGAGAAGGTGAGGAATTAGCAATGGGAGAAAGAAAACATCCAATCTCATCTCCAGGCAGATAGCCCCTCAAAAGGGAATTCTAACTTTCCTACAGGAATGGGAAATCTTATTCAAAGTATGGGCCCGCTTTGAAATAATCTAGTATATTAAAAAGACCCTTTCAAGTTCTGTTCAACAGAAAAAGCCAAAATAGTGATAAAAAAGGTGCTTCTTCTTTCTCCTTTACCCCACCACAATCCTCTTCTCTGGATAGCCAGAAGTAGCTGTTTCAGCCAGACCCATCTGGATGCAGAATATAAATAATACTTTTTCTTTAAAAAGTTGAGCTCCCTGCCCCTATCCCATCTCAGTTACAGGGGCTAATATTTCTTTTCTCTCTCTCTCTCTCTCTCAGGGTATGTCTACACTGCAGAGTGTTTTCGGAACAACATTTTCCGGAAAAACTACACTTATGTCCATACTGAAATTGCGTTCTTTTGACAGAAAGTTGAAAGAACACAGGGAGTTTTCCAACAGTGGTAAACCTCTTTCTACGAGCTCTTTTGGAAAAAGGTGTGTGTGTATGGGGAAAAAGGGGTTGGTTTTTTTTGAAAGAAGAGGCCTCCAGGAAAAAGCACAGGTGCCCTGGTGGCCACTCTGTCCATAGTAATCACAGTTTAAATGCGAGAGAGCGTCCATTCAGTGTGGATACTATCTTTCGAAAAATCAGATCGCTTTTTCGATGAGCTTTCACAGTGTGGACGCTCTCTTTTGGAAGATGATTTTTTGGAAGTTCTCTTCCAGAAAAGCTTCTTCTGAAAGAAACCTGCAGTCTCTCTCTCTCTTTCTCTCTTTTTCACTGTTATTTCCACACCCAGTAAAATCATCTTTGTGTTATTAGGACTAAACCTCAGAACAGATCACTTTCTTCAGCTCAAAGCATGGTGCAGAGCTGTTTGGTATTTGATGAGTTACTCCTTTAGTCCTTCTGTTCTGCAATGTGATTTGTCCTTTTCATATTTGTTCTTTTTTTTAATTGTATCCTTTGGTATATATGGTTGTGACTACTTTCTTCCACTATTTGATCTGAGGAAGTGGGTCTGGCCCACGAAAGCTCATCATCTAATAAACCATCTTGTTAGTCTTTAAAGTGCTACATTGTCCTGCATTTTGCTTTCTTCCAAGCCACATTCTCTACACAATTATTGACAAAGCTGAGTGACACCACACTGCATGAATTCAATGACCTGGAGCCAGAAGAATGACTGGTAAGCATGCATTACAGATCCCACTCTGTGCCCAATCTGTAGGAAAGGAGTCTAGGATCCTGAGCTCAAGTTGTGGCAGATCATGTTTTTACCTCTAATTCAATCCCTAGAGTATTGGCCAAGTTGGCAGCCATCACAATAGCATTCAAGCCCAAGCCATGTGTCTCATAATTTTCTTTACTCTTTGTATAAACCAGAAATGGGGGGTAACAATTTCCTCTTGATAAGAAGTATTAGGAAAAAATAAAACAACTCACTGGACTCCATCTTGCCTAGCTTGCAGGGACTCCATTTGCCTCTGAAGACATGTTTGTGAAAAGCAGCTAATGAAGAAACCAGCACAGGTGTTTTGATGTCTCTCACCGGAAGATAAACAACTACTGACTAGCATAGGTCCAATTTTGGACCATACTACATCTTAGCCCAGTTCTGGACTGTAGAGAATCAAGGAAATCTGAAGACTCCAAATGAACAGACCTGATATCACTACAACCTTCTTAGTCTTCTCCAAGGGTATGTCTAGACTACAGGGCTCTGTTGACAGAGCCATGTAAACTAGTTTACCCGGCATAGTCAATGAAGCGGGGATTTAAATAATCCCCGCTTCATTAAAATAAAAATGGCCGCCGCGTTGTGCCGACAATCAGCTGATCTGGCACAGCGTGGGAGTCTAGACGCGGATCGGTCAACAAGGGAAGCCTTTGTCGACTGCTCCCTTATGCCTCGTGAAATTCCCGCTTCATTGACTATGTTGGGTAAACTAGTTTACATGGCTCTGTTGACAGAGCCATGTAGTCTAGACATACCCCAAAAGAGGTAAGATTAAAGACAAGGATATCCTTGGCAAGAATATCCATATCACAAGATGTTTCCAGGATCATGAGTCTAATGATCACTCATGCTGTTAGGTTGCCTGGTGAAATGGGAGGTTTTGATGGTCTCAATAATAAGCCAATCACCTCACCAAAATGTTGATCCCTATTGCAATCCAAAACCTTAATTTTCCTAATCATATCCAGGACCTCAGAAGCTGATATTGGTCAAAAGTAAAGGAGAAGCATTCCTACAGTTGTTTCCCCTGTCACAGGTCTGCTATGGCAGAAAGAAACTCATGAAGTCTGAATCAAAACAACTTTATGTGGCCTTCATTGTTTATACCACTC